GTTCAGTCCTCACTTTACACTGTCCTTGTTTAAAAAAATTAAATTGTTTAGAAACAATTTTGAAAACATTTCTGTGCTTTTAAAAACTGTAGTGACTTTCAGTAATCTTAGTTGAGAGTATTTATTTTCCCTAAGGTTCCCTGATCTATAATCTTCCATTCTTCCATTTTTCATCTTCAAGAGGAATGGCATTGCAAAACAGTACTGAGGAAGGACGTGATTGGCTCATTGTACTGCTACACAGTACAGACAATCTCATAGCTAGAAGGGACTTAAAAGTCATAGGTACAGTTAGACGAAAATCTGAGCAGATATGAGGAAGCATGAGGGTGTAGTCATTCTCGTGCCTACAAAGCACTACTTTTTTCAGTTATGGAAGAATCTAATAAGGAGGAGCTGATTCATCCGTGATACAGTCCTTTAGTTTTTGAATAACTGACACCAAGGAACTTTGGAATTTTAATCTCCCAACAGATGTTAATTTAAGGCATTAATGAGTAATGCAATTTCTGCCATTCAGTAACTTGAAGTAAAGCATCTAGCTTTATTTCAATAACGAAGCTAGGTGTGGTGACAGAAATCTATAATACTGGTACTTGGAAGGTATAGCATCTAGAAGATCAGAAGTGCAAGGAAAGCCTCAAGCTACACATTGAGTTACTTGAGATTCTGTCCCCCCAAAAAAGGAAGATATAGCTCAGTTGGGAGAGTGACTGCCCAGTATTTGAGAGCCCTGGTTATACAAAGCCCTGTGATAGTGGAGCCTGTAATTTCAACACTTGTTCAAGGCCAGTTTAGGCTACAAAACAATTTAGAGACCTGCCTTAAGATGAGACCTGGCTCAGAAAATAAAGAACACAGTAGTTAACCTCGCCTAACCTAATGTTCTTTGGAATAATTGCTGTAAACAAAAATACTATGATTGTTGGCTTACAGCCGTTTCTCAACTGTGAGGTCCCCTATCAGGCATCCTGCATATCAGATATTAAATTTACTGTTCATAATTGTAGCAAAATTACAGTTATGAAGTAGCAATGAAATAATTTTATGGTCTGGGGATCACCATAACATGAGGAACTGTATTAAAAGATCACAGCAGTAAATGGTGGAGGCGCACGCCTTTAATCTCAGTTCCTGGGAGGCAGAGACAGGTGGATCTCTGTAAATTCAAGGCCAGCATAGTCTACAGGGTGAGTTCCAGGACAGGCTCCAAAGCTGTACAGAGAAACCCTGTCTCGAAAAAACAAAACAAAACAAACAAAATGATCGCAGCATTTGGAAGTTGAAAACTACTATTTACAGGAAGGGAAAGTTATTTCCAACTGGGGAAATATATATAAATCAGACTATAACTTCTGAAACTTGGCTTTTAAGTGAGGCTTGTTATCAATTTAGAGGGTTTTTTTTTTGTTTGTTTTTGTTTTGTTTCATTGGTTTTTGGTTTTTTGAGACAGGGTTTCTCTGTGTCACTCTGGCTGTCCTGGAATTCACTCTGTAGACCTGGCTGGCCTCAAACTCTGAGATCCACCTACATCTGTGCTGGGATTAAAGGAGTGCACCACCACCACCCAGCTCGGTGAAGAGTTTCTACAAGAGGAAAAATAAATATAAATGCATGGTATTGCATGACAATATTTAGGCAATTCTTACTACTTTAAGATAATCTTTTCAACAGCTAATTTTATGTTCCTTTGTATTTCATAATTTCATAACTCTACTCACTGGCTTAAAGAAATGTGCAACTTGCTTTCGATGACCCTACCATATTTTTATATTTCTTCAAAAAAGTTAACGGGTACTGTTGATTATGTAATTCTGTATCAATTTCCTGCCAAGACACCTCTTAAAAAGTAATGAGCTGGGATTTATTTGACCTTCTAGTTCAACCACATAAATTCTTTAAGATGCCACTGAAAAATAATATTGAATTTAACATAACTGAAGAGAAATGTACATTCTCCAGTAGTCCTATAAGAAGACAAGGTATGAAATATTTTAAATTGAGAGCTAAAGTTTAAATATACAATGATGTACAAATTGTGAAATATTCAATATTCATTTGCCTTGTATTTTCAGTAACTATTATAAACTTGGTTGAATTACAATCAAGTTTCCTCTCTTTCTTTCGCTCATGTTCATATGCATAGGGGTGTGTGTTTGTGTGTGTGTGTGTGTGTGTGTGTGTGTGTGTGTGTGTGTGTACATCAGAGACTAATCTTGGTGTTAGTTAACCTTGGTTCTCCAGGAGTTGTTCACCTTGTTCTTTGAGACAGGGTGTTCACTGGTACCTCGTACCTAACCATTAGGCTAGGTTGGCTAACCAGTGAACCCCAAGGTTCCTCCTGTCTTCTCCTCTCCCAGACTGGGCTTACAGGTGTATGCTACCATGCCTGACTTTTTATGTGAATGCTGAGGATTCGATTATGGTCTTGTCCTTGAATGGCAAACACGTTTCTGACTGAGCTGTCTCCCCATCCCCTAGCCACCAGTGATTGATTTGTCTTTGATGTTTAGGTTCCAAACTACTGTCAGGTTTTATTTTTTAAATAATCTTTTATTCTTATAATAGCCATGTTTCAGACATACCCACATTATTGCTCATATGACAGTACTCTACACTTATCTATATTTTCATTTTAATTATCTGTAATGTTATCATTTATTTGTAATTAACTGTAGTACAAAAATATTAAAAGGAAAATTCCATAAATAAATAAAAACTTTTAAGTAACTCATTATAGTAGTTAGTCATAATTGCTCTGTTTTATTGTTGCTAACCTCTCATATGTATGTATATATAGGAGAAAATCATGTGTGTGTATATGTATATGTAAGTGATCTTTAAATTGATTATTTTCTCTCTTTTCTTCAGTCTACCCACTACCATCAGAATTCTTATTCTACAATACTAAACTGATCTTGTGATTTCCCTGAATAAAAGCATTGATTCCTTTCCACATATAGAATGAAATCCAGTTCTTGGACTTTCCGTTCTCTCTCTAAGAGTGGAATTGTACTCCACTTCTGTTGGTGATTAATGCACCTTGTATAGACAATTACTTCCCTTTTCTAGAATGTCTTTTTACTTTTGTTTTGTTACATTTTTCCCTCTTAAACTGCTAGATTCCTCTTTTGTTCTTATTATAATTTTCTGCAGAATTTTGTTAGTACTTCCCCCCTTTTGTACACTAATTGTGATGTTTGCCTCACAGCTGAACATGAGTTCCTTTAGGGTAGCAGTTGTGATAGGACGGTGTGGTAAGAAAGCATCGGAAGCAATAGTAGTACCATTTATTGGCTACCTCTTGGAGGTGTGATACTTGGAAAGAATTTAGCACATATTTTACAGAGTATGTTAATAATAAGATATAATTAACACAGGGTCTTGCCAGACTCTTGCTGGACCTTGTTTTGTTTGGGGAATAGCACTCAGGAGACAGAGCAGGAGGATCACTGCAAGTTCATGGTCAGTTGGGTCTACATAATAAATTCTAGAAGGAAAAGAATGGTGGTATAGACCTTGATCCATACTATATTTAAAAGACCTATTGTTTCACTGTTTCTCAGGATTGTTTGCATTCTAATAGGATAAGCCTTAGTGAAATGGATTTGTGATTTGGGGAATTCATAATTTAAAATAAAAACATATTGGTACCTACACTAACTTGTAGACTCAGTAGTCTTTTTTGACCTTTTATTTCCATTACTTCGCTAATAAAAAAGGTTGAAGATGCTTATATTTTTAAGTTTTATTGATATACAATTAATTAGTTATAAGGTAATAATCATATATAAACTTTTATTTTTTAACTAAGATCTCTTTATGACCAAGACTGTTGTTATGCTTGACTATTATCCTCTATTTAAACCTAAACTTCATGTTAGGACCCCAAAGATGGACTTTGTGGGGAGTCATTGGGTCTTTTTGTCTTCCCTGACTGGCCTGAAACTTACTATATAGATCAGAATGGTCTTGAACTCACAGAGATCAGCCTTTCTTTGCTTTTGAAATTGCAAAGATTAAAGGCCTGTCCCACCACTCTTGGAAAATAAATAAATAAATAAATAAATAAATAAATAAATAAGTGTGTGTGTGTGTGTATCTGTACATCTTAATCAACACAAAATAAACATAAACATGTCCACCATCCTCCAGGCCTTCTCATCTCCTGGTTTTAAACAAATAGTGATCACCTTTATTTCATTCTAGATTGACTTACATATTCTAGAGTTTCATATAATTGGATCATATGGTATGTGCTTGTTTTAGATTGCTTCTTCTACTCAGCGCACTTACTTGATAGTTGTATGTATCAGTATTTTATCTGAGAGTGCATATTTTTAATTACATTTGTTATGAAAAGTAAATTTTTTTACCCACATTATAGGTTAAATTTTGGAGGAGGTTCAGGTGGAACTGATGTGAAAATTTAGTTGAGCCTATGTAAAATCACTTCTGAGACTTGTTTTAATATGTTATGCACAGATTCTTTGGTATTCCAGACTTGTGTGCACAAAAATTTAAGTCCATTTTAATTTTCAATGAGTGTCCTTTCATGTACTTAGAGTCTAATTCAAAATAAAGCAGGTAAGTACATTTTACTCAATCTTGGAGTATAATGTACTCTGGAATACTATCTCCTTCACCTTTCTTGGGAAGTGTTGGGTGAAAACCCTTCTAATTTGGCCTCATATGGGTAGTAACTCTAAAGTGGTTGCCTCAAACTTAATACTGCCGTTAGTTACAGGTATCAAGCCGTAAGGCACTAATCAATTGTGTGTTAATACTACTAGGAGCTCAGTTTGTGGAGGGAAAAGATAGCTTCCTCACGTCATCTTTGATGACTACATTTGAAACTTGTTATTTAATGTTGGGAAGGAAAAAGATCTTTGCTTTGTTGTATTGTATTGTTTTTTTTTTTTTAAACCCAAGTCCTTAAAAATCCATTATATTGCTATTATAATCTCACTCATTGCTATGTCCCTTTTTAAACTTTCAGGTGCATATAATCCATATGTAGAAATAATTGAGCAGCCAAGACAAAGGGGAATGCGGTTTAGATACAAGTGTGAAGGGCGCTCAGCAGGCAGCATTCCTGGAGAGCACAGCACAGACAACAACCGGACATATCCATCTATCCAGGTAACAAGCCCTTCCTCAGCGGCTCACTTTCAGTGGATCGTATTTCCTATGACAATTGAATTCAACACTCAGTTTCTTTTTTGTTATGGTTTTGTCTCGAGACAGGGTTTCTCTGTGCAGTCCTAGCTGTCCTGGAACTCACTCTGTAGACCAGGCTGTCCACCGGCTTCTGCCTCCCCAGTGCTGGGATTAAAGGGCTGCACCACCACCGCCCAGTGGAAGGCTCGGTTTCTTAACAGTTACCTCCCCGGTCTTTTACTCCCATCCCATTTCTTTTCTTTGTACTTCTTTGCATTAACTAGGTGTGTAGGGAGCTCTCTTAGATATGCGCACTCTTTGCTGCTGTAGTTCGCGTATTAATGTAACTGCAGTGATTCACGGTGCTTACTATATTCTGACACTTTTGGATCTCATCCCTCCTGTAAGCATGAAGCTTTTAGTAAGGAAAAGGCGTTCTCTATATATGGTGGTGAGGGGGAATTATAGTATATGCTAAACATGGATTTGGAAACTCTAATTTTTTCCAATCTTTTAGTTTCAGAGCTATTAATATAGAAAACTTTCCCCCTCTTTTTTCTTACCTTTATTGCACATCTCCAGTACTCTTGAGTTATCATCTAAACTATCACTTTTTTCTCTGTGTATTTAAGGTGTGTGTGTGTGTGAATGTCGGCACTCATGCCTCAGTGCCCATGTGGACATCAGAACAGGCTTGGATAGCTTAGTGCTTTTCTTCCACGTTTATGAGGCAGGGTGTCTCTGTTGCTTTCTCACTCAATATATCCAGTGTCCTCCTGCTTCTGCTTCCCATCTCCTGACAGCAGAGTTGGTATCACAGGTGCTTAAGCTTCTGGTCTCTATCTTTTTTTGATAGACAGTACTGAGGATTGAACCTAGAATGTTAGGCAAGTGTTCTACCACTGAGATAGATTCCTAGCCTGTGAAGGTAGTTTTTGACTGAAAATGAATTTGGCAAATGTACCATATTTATAAGGTATGTTTATATGTCTTATTTATAAATTATATTTACTTGCCTTTTAATTTTTATAATTTATTTGCTCATGTTTGATGTTTTGAAACAAAATTTCTCTAGACTAGGCTAGCCCCAAACGTGTAGTGCTATTCCCTCTTGCCTCTGCTTCCTTCACACTGGGAATATAGGCATGCACAATCATGCCTAGGTGCTTTTTATCACTTAAATTCCAATTAAAAGGCTTAATAGTGAGTTGATGGGGTAGCACATGCCTGTAATCCAAGCATTTGGGAGGCAAAGACAAGTAGATCTTCAGTTTGAGGACTGCCCAGACTGCATAAGAAGACCCAAGCCAATGTGGACTGTTTTTGTCTGTTTTTCCGTTTTGTCGAAACAGGGTTTCTCTGTATCTTTGGATCCTGTCCTAGCTCTTGTAGACCAGGCTGGCCTTGAACTCACAGAGATCCACCTGCTTCTGCTTCCTGAGAGCTGGGATTGAAGGCATGCACCACCACCGCCTGGCTCCAATGTGGACTTTTTAAACAAGACCTTGTCTCAACAAATAAATAAAAACAAAGTTAGTAACTAGTCTGGGGTAGTATCGCCCACTGTGGGGAGGCTTTGGTAGGAGGATCACTTGGGTCCAGAGACCAGTGTGGATAAAAGATGTTATCTCAAAATCAAATTTGAAAAATGGTTCTTAATCTTTCATGATTAGATCTGAAATCACTTCTTTGTAACTAGCTTATTTACAATTTATTTTATTGAACCTAAGGAGAATTACAAAGTTAAAACAATAAGTCCATTGTCAAGTTATGTATTGATTTCCAAATTTCTCTTCTTTTTGTTTTAACTGATACGTAGATGCTGGAATTAAACATATTAATGGACTGTCATGTAATGTCTGATACATGTATACATCATGTAATTCTTAAATCAGGTTAAACATACTTAACTCCTCAAACATTTGTCATTCCTTGTGGAAACATTCCAAGTCCTCTTAGTTTAGTTAAATACACAGTGTTTCTGTACATAGTCACCATATTGTATAATGGTGTGCCTAGAGCTTTTTTGTCCCATCTACTGTACAAATTAAATTTTAAGAAGATTTTATTGTTATATGTTTATGAGCCTGATACAGATACTGGGATCTGAACTCTGGTCCTATGGAAGACCAGGAAGTGCTCTTCCTTTTGAGCTATCACTTCAGCCCTATAACTTCATGCTTTTAAATGACATTTTTGTCAACAGTATGGATTTGGGTTATCTAAGTTCTTTTAAGTATTCAAATGGAAGAAGAGATGTAGTGAAAAGTTAACTTAAAAATTCTATTCTTCCAATCTTGTGAGTCATTTCAGCTCCTCTTTTTTAAAAAATGTTCCTAGATTTTATTTATGAACTCATACAAACATTGCAGACAGTGTGTCTTGACCCTCACTCCCCACCCCCTTCGTTCTAGTTTTACCCTGGAAGTAGCACAGGCATTTCAGAGTTATTTCTGCTGTTAGCAATGATGCGCAGCCAGACATGAGCCAGTCCTGGAGAGTGGTCTTTTTCAGAGATTTTTTATGAGATATTTCAAGTACTGTTTGGAAGAAGACACCTTGGAGGAGACAGTGATCTCGCTCCTGCTCCTTTTGATGACCCCTCCGTCAAGATTTCCATCTTTTCCTCTCGTCTCAACTCTCTCTGGTGGAACTGCTGGGAACCAGCAACATCCACAATGCTTCTTCTGTAGGGTGGGTGCAGTCAAGGGCGAATTTCAAAACCTGCTTTTTTCCCCCTCCTTTGCCACAAGCTCTTTTTCATGGTCCATCTGTCCTCAGAGTACCATGTTTTTGTTGTTTGTTTTTTAATTCTTGAACTTTTTTAGACTCTCTCCCTCTGCCCCCCCCCCCCCCCCCGTGCACATGCACACACGTGTAAAGGTCAGAGGACAGCCTTCAGGGCAGTGCTCTCGTGTACTGTGTGAGATCCAGAGATTGCACTTCTTCATGGCAAATGCTTTTACCTATAGCACCATCTAACCATCCCTTAGTTCTTCTTAAATCATATTACTTTATGCATCAAAATTATGTGTATGATTTGTGTCTTTTCTGCTCCAACAGGTTCTAAACACTTTACAGCTTGAATTCTTTCTCCATCAGCCTATTTTGTAGTTTTAGCAATTGTGAGTGGATATGATCAGTATACACTGTATAAGTAAATGTATGAAACTTTCAAAGAAAAAAATATAAAACAGACAGGCACAGTGGTACATGTCTTTAATCTCAGAATTTGGGAGGCAAAGGCAGGTGGGTCATATTTATTTGCTATTATTTTCAGTGCGGCTTAAATATGTTTTTCAAGGCATATTTATGGTATATCAGTGTAACCAAAAGCAAGGCACTGAAAAGCTAATTTCTAAGCATTTCCTTGTGCTCTGTGACCCACTCCTCCAAAAAAAAAATCAACTTTCCAGGCTGTGTTGGTGCACATCAGCACTTGGTAGGCAGAGGCAGGCAGATCTCTGAGTTCGAGGCCAGCCTGGTCTACAGAGGGAGTTGCAGGACAGCCAGGGCTACACAGAGAAACCCTGTTTGAAAAAACCCTGTTTCTTGAAAACGAACGAGAGAGAGAGAGAGAGAGAGAGAGAGAGAGAGAGAGAGAGAGAGGAAAAGGTATCAACTTATTTGATTTATTTAGGATTTTGGATTTTGACACAGATCTCATATAGCTCAAGTGGGCCTCAAACTCATCACTTAGCTGAGGAGACCTTGAACTTCTGAAAATTGTTGTCTCTTCCTGTTGAGTGTGGTTAATGTGGTTCTGGGAATCAAACCCAGGGCCTTGTGCACACTAGGCAAGCATTCTACCAACTGAGCTACATCCCCAATACAGTTTACCTGTTTTGTGTTTGGTTTTTTAAGACAGAGTTTCTCTTTGTAGCCTTGGCTGTCCTGGAAGTCACTCTGTAGACCAGATTGACCTTGAACTCACAGAGATCAGCCTGTCTCTGCCTCTGCCTCTTGAGTTCTGGGATTAACAGTATACACCACAATGACCAGCATGCTTACTGGTTTTGGTTTGGTTATTTGAGACAGGGTTTCTCTGTAGCTAGGGAACCTGTCCTGGAACTAGCTTGTAGACCAGGGTGGCCTTGAACTCACAGAGATACACCTGCTTCTGCCTCCAGAGTGCTGGGATTAAAGATGTGTGCCGCCACCACCTGGCCTGGTTTTGAAAGGGAAAAAAGTAACCAGATGATAAAACTAGATGAAATTAGGGCAGAAAGAACATTTCAGGAGAGTTGAAAGATAGTTTTCCCTGCTGGTATTCTCTGAAAACTTTAATCTCAAGTAAGCTGCTGAATATTTGAACTTTATTCAGTGCTGACTTCATTATATACTTGAATTTAGTGGATCAGCTTTTTATATTTGTTTGCTTTTAAAACAGGGTATTGTTGTTTGTAGCCCTAGCTGGCATTGAATTTGTGCCAGTCCTTCTTCAGCCTTCCAGATGCTGGGGTTACTGGCATATGCCACAGTATACCATCTGGCAGCTCTGTTCTTAACAAGATATACTTACGGATTGTACAATGAATTTCCCCTTTCAGATTATGAACTATTATGGAAAAGGAAAAGTGAGAATTACGTTGGTAACAAAGAATGACCCATATAAACCTCATCCTCATGATTTAGTTGGAAAAGACTGCAGAGATGGCTACTATGAAGCAGAATTTGGACCAGAACGCAGACCTCTGTTGTAAGTATGCAGTCACAGAAATCTTTGCAGTAGGACAAGAATAGCATTAGTTTTTAGCAAATTTAATTTCTTATTTAATTTACTATAGCTTACTTTTAAACTTTTAATTTTATTTTTCATCTATAGGGGTACATGCATGGGCCATGGGGTGCATGTGGAGGTCTGAGTTGGTCCAGCTCGTGAAGCTGGTTCTTTCCTCTGCCATGAGAACTCTGAGGATTGCACTTAGGTCACCAGGTGTAGTTGCAGATGCCTTTATCCCCTGAGCCATCTCACCAACCTGATATTTAAGTTTTTGTTTTTACCATTGGCATTAGAATTGTCCTTTCAATCAGCAGAACTACTTCCTTGAGAGTTGCAGGTTTAGACAGCTCATGTAACCCAGGCTGGACTCAAACTTGCTATGTAGAGTGAATTTGAACTTATCTTCCTGCCTCCACCTCCCGAATTCTGGGTTTGCAGGTAACACCACCATGTCTGGCTCAGCTGGAGTACTTATTTTAAAAATTTGTATGTTCTTCTTAGTGTTTCAAGATAGGGTTTATATAGGCCAGGTGGCCTTCCAGAGGACCCGGACACTGAGAGTCCAGGGTGAGGTTAGCCAAAGTACCACATCAGTCTGTGCAGACTGAGCTCAAGACAGACTGCTGCCGTGTTAGGCCAGCAGTCTGACAACAGAGCTGTGCACTGCCACTCCTTATCTCCTCAGTTTGGGCTGTTTGCAGACAGAATCTCACTGTGTAGCTCAGCCTAGCTTCCAGCTTGTGGTGATCCTCCTGCCTCAACCTCCAGAGTACTGGTTATAAGTAAGCATGTGTTACCATATTTGGATAGGTGTTCGTCTTTATAATTTTTGAAAGTAAAGAAAGCTTTTTATGTTGTGATATAAATTCTGCATAATCTATGAAAAATTTGAGGCCAACCTGGGAGGCATTGTTTCAAAAAAAGTTCCTCATTAATAGTAATAACACAAAACACAAAAAGCCCAACTAAAGCACATTTGACAAGCAATACTACTGCCTGCATTACTTGAACTTCCACCTGGCGTTTTAAACTTTCAACTGTTTGTGTCTTGAAATACTCTTTCTGATTTCTGTAAGACAAACTTGTTTTAATTTGCAGTTTTCTAGCTGTCCTTCCATATGGCCTCTGTGTTTTCATCTTTGTCACACTCTAGTGCCTCTAATTTATTCTTTCTGGTATTTCAAGACAGGGCTTCTCAGTGTAGCCCTAGCTGTCCTTGAACTCAGAGATCTGCCTGCCTCTGCCACTGCCTCTGGAACTAAAGGACTGCACCTCTAATCTTACATTGCAGTCATGAGAGTATTCTTTAGTCGTCCTGCGTACAGTGCCCTTTCCTAGGGCCTCCTCATGATCTGTTCCTTTTGTCTTCCTAGTGCATTCCACACTATCACTTCCCACAGGAAGCCTGCCTGCCCACCTGAATTGATCCTGTTATATGCTCCTTCCCATAGAGTATGTTTAATTTCATAAAACTTGGTATGATTCAGTTGAGTGGTTTTTGCCTATGATTATTTAGTAGTTCAGCAGACTTGAGCTAGCGGGTTTTTTTTTTCTTTCTGTAAATGGCTAGTCGGATCATAGGCTTTACAAGCCTTTTAGACTCTATGCCCATCCTACTCAGCCCCGCTATTTCAGGAAAGCTGTCACAAATGATACATGAGTGTATGGGCATGTTTGAGTTTCAATACAAACTTCACTTGCAAAAACAGCAGTATGCTGAATTGGCCCATGAATTAGAGTTTTCAATCCCCCATTCCCAACACCAAGGTTCCATGAAGGGAGAAATTGTACATCTCCATTCCTTTCTAGAGTTTTAATGCACAGTTGGAACTCCAAAATATGTTGAGTGACTATGAAGGAATACATGGGAGAATGAACCAAATACCCTAATGATTCTTGGTTTCCTTAACACAGAAGTTTTTTGCCTTGTTCCCTTCTTTTCTCTTTCTGCTAGTGTTGGGTTGATTCCAGAGGATCATGAGCTAGACAAGTACTATACTATTGAGTTAATGCCTAGCTCTTGGAGTTTTGAAACCCCCCATTACTTTTAATATTCTGTGCATTAGCAGGTGTGATTATTCAGATGAGACAAAACCAAGTAGTATATATTAGGGTGAAGAATTCTTTAAAACCTTTTATTAGAGAAAAAAACTAAAAAACACAATAAATCTCCCAAAGATTCTTTTTGAGAAGGAATTATTTAGTTACAGGATTTCAAGAAAGGATTGAGAATTCATAGCTTATTTATTTTTGTTATTGGAGGTGGAGGAAGGAAATGTCAGAGTTATTTTAGGTGCTGGTGAAGTCACAGGTGCGTGAATGCCGAGCATGAAGCATGAACGCAAAGGCGGCACGGATGTGGAGTAGAGTGAGCCAGGTAGCTGCAAGAGCCAAGTGAAATGGGAAGAAAAGGCGGCGTTCTTATCATTGAGTTTTGCTTCCTTATTCACACCCACCCATCTCGAATGATGTCATGGTTTTTCCATGTGGGAACAAGTATGACTGGGTGGTGGCAGGGGAGTTCCCCCCACCATCATCTGTATTACACATATGCAAATGAATAATATTTGTAGCTATTGAGAAGTTTTCCATAAGTGACCTTCTGAATGTGTTAAATAGTGTTAGTATTAAACCTCTCTAATTAAAAAAAAAACAACTTCACTCCAATAACATGGCATAAAGTGTATTCTGTAATCTATGACAGAACTTGAGGTCAGCCTGGAGTACACAGCAGGACACTCCAGCTGCGCGCTGTAATTTGATGTAGTTGATGACACAGCTTTCAGCGATGAGCTAGAGACAGCATAAACGAGCAGAGGAATCAGACCTAAGAAGGCTAGCCAGGTCCCCATCTAAGTGAGAGCTGTACGTAAGGGGGCACAGTTGCCTCTCTGCCCAAGTGCTGTCAAGCCTCTGAAATGTTCACAAAGCCAGGAATACTGATGTTCTTCTCTAGTTACTTAACTTTTAAGTCCCATAATGTATACAGATTTTTTTAATTCAGTAAGCACTCCCATAAAATCTTTAATAAATATAGGTTATAGGAGTAAATCATGCCTTCATAGTTCAGGGTTTGGCTGTCTTTGCACCTCTTGATACACAAATTTTAGTGAATTGATCATGAATTTGTTTGGAGTGTGAAATTTTGCTTTTCGGTGTTTTTTTTTTTTTAAATGTTTATCTACCTTGGTACCTTTGACTAGGCATATTGGTAAAATATAATTATAAAATAGTATATTTGAAAGTGAAATAGTACTATATATACTTTTTTGGCTTGGTCTTTTGCGACAGCGTTTCCCACGGTCTAGGCTAACCCTCAAACTCTTAGGTAGCTGAGGATGATCCCCGTGCCTCCGTTTCCCCAGCGCTGTGATTCAAGGCAAACGCTGCCATGCACACTGTTTGTATATTAGCAGTTCTCTTAGACAGTTCTACTTTTTGTTACTCTTGTATCTTTATTATCAAAATCAGAAACAGGATCCATGTCCTAGTAGCTGGATTTGACCGGAAGGTGACTTCTCAATGTTGACTGTGTTTGACTTCTGTCATATTTTTAACCGTGATGTGATTTTGAAAGTTTCATTTTTTGTTCTTAGTTTTCAGAATTTGGGTATTCGGTGTGTAAAGAAAAAAGAAGTGAAAGACGCTATTATTTTAAGAATAAGTGCAGGAATCAATCCTTTCAATGGCAAGTATTTTGTTACAATTTCTACTATTTGAATATTGATGGACTGTGATTTCTCTTTACATTGTAATTCTACTTGTTGACTTGTATTTGTACCCAAGGAATCAAGTGTATTTAAGTAGACAGTGTCTTTGTTTTTTTTTTTTTTAAGGAGGCCTCCCCTTCCCCTTTCTTATTGTTTATTTTGACATAAGTTCTTCCTTTGTAGCTCAGACTATTACTACTTCTCACAGAGTGACCTTGAACTCCCAGCAACCCTCCCTCATCAGCCTTCCAAGTGCTTGGATTCTAAATTTGAGCCACCGTGCCTGGCTAAAACAAATGAAAGAAAAACTAAAACCTGCTGCAGGTGTTTTGATTCTCTGAATATGCTTATTCCTTATGCCACTCATGCAAGGAGCAGCACTCGCTCCTCTGAGTGCTGAGTAGGCCATCCACGCTCTCCTCCCTCCCCCCACAGTTGTTTCCCAATAGGAATCTCATAAGGCCTTGCTGACTTGAATTGCTGTTTCGCTGAGGCTGGCCTTGTCCCTGCCTCTGCCTCCCAAGTTCTGCCATTACAGACCTGCAGCACCATACCTGGCCACTCAAAATATTTTTTACACTTTTTTAGATTTTTAAGTATGAATGTTTTGCCTGCCTGTATGTATATGTACCATGTGTGTGCCTGGTAACCTTGAAGTTCAGAAGAGGGCACTGGATCCTCTGGAACTTGAATTGCAGATGGATATGAGTCACCATGTGGGTTCTGGGAATCAAACCCAGGTCCTCTGCAAGAGCAACAAGTACTTTTAAACACTAAGGTGTCTCTCTAACCCTTCAAAATATTTTTGTGATATGTTTTTGTATTGTCAAAATATATCTTGCTATTTATTTAGCACATTTTATTGGCAATAGCACTTACTAGCCATTTTATTTTTAAGTTATTGTTTGGGGACAAGGGCTTACCACATAACACATGCCTATCCAAGAATGGCTTGAATTTTCTGATCCTCCTGCCTCCACCTCCCAGTACTGGGACCATCATCACACTTGGCTTATGCTTTGTTGGGGATGACTCAAGGTTTCTTTTGAGTGCTAAACAAGCCCTCTGCCGACTTAGCTGCTTCACTGACCCTAAGCATTTATTCTTTATGATGCTATTTGGGTAAGGCATCTAGTACCTTGTAGCGTTTTGTATTGTTCAATAGATAAATGTTTGCTGAAGTGGATGCAGTTATCCTTACTTTAAAAAGTCTTCCTTCTAAAGTCCTGTGTAGCTACGTACATAGTTTTGTTGGTCTAGGCGTGGTAGAGCACACATGTATTTCAAGCTGCTTGAGACTGCATCCTCAAACTCACTATGTAGCTGAGAAGAACCTTGTATTCTATCTGAGCCTTTAGTCACTCATTAACTGAAGAGGTGTAATAAATACCTATTATCTGTAAGCTCTTACCTTCGGTGTTCAATGAAACATAAAGATGCGGCACACCATTCTGAGCTCATAGCACTTTGTCTAGTAGGGTAGCAGCAGCACGTGGGAGTGGTGGTCATGGGAGATGAGAACCCAAGGGCAGAGCTAGTGCTGCACTGATTCAGAGAGAAGGTGTTTCTTCTCGTCCAGAACGAGACTTAGACTTTGTAGAACAGTAGTTCAGGGATGGAGATATGGCTCTAGAAGTGAGTGCTTCCTGCCTAAGCTCGAAGACCTGAGTGTAATCCTAGTGCCCATTTGAAAACAGTCAACACTGGGGAGGTGACTACAGGGGGATGTCTGGGGTTGGAGGGTCAGTGAAAGACCTCATCTCAAAACATAAATGAATTAATCCCAGCACTTGGGAGGCAGAGGCAGGCGGATCTCTGTGAGTTCGAGGCCAGCCTGGTCTACAAGAGCTAGTTCCAGGACAGGCTCCAAAGCTACAGAGAAACCCTGTCTCGAAAAACCAAAAAAAAAAAAACAAAACCCATAAATGAAGACAACTAAGACACCTGGTCTTGCTCTCTGTCCCCTGTAAAGAAGATCTCGTCTTTACACACACACACAAAGTAGTTCTTAGCTGGGTTTTCAGCCTTTACTCTGGATCCGTATCACTTATGACTCCTGGTTGGCAGTCATTTTTAGCTATGCTGTGCCAGAGATGAGAAACACGGTTTAAAACCATGTTAGTTTTATATAACTGTTCTGCATTCTAACAATAGAGTTTTGGTGCCCCCTTTTTTCTTACGTACGGGAGAAGGGTGCAGTGGTATGGAAGTTAAGGACAGCCTCAGATGTTGTTCTGAAACAGGGCTTCTCACTGGCTTAGAGCTCGGCAGTCTGCCAGGGCTCGCTGTCTGCCTTCCCATATAAGCCTTGTTACAGCCTGGCCTTTCTACATGGGCTTTGGAGTAGAAGTCAGGACCTTGTGCCTGCAAGGCGGGCACCTCACCAACAGAACTGTCTCTCTCAGCCCCACTCTGACTTTCTAGTTAGGCAGCCATGTTTTTATAGACTCACATGTTAGGCTTGAGAATGCAGATACTGGAATAAATTTCAATGTCAGGTTTGGAAGCAGCCGCTGATCATATTACTACAGTTTGGCATTATGGGCTATACAGTGAGACCTTGTTTCAGTAAACAAAAAGAAGCCAGTTGTGGTGGTCCATCTGCCTGCCTCTGCCTCCCAAGTGCTGAGATTAAAGGCATGGACCGCCTTTTCTGGCAGCATATATGGCTACCCATTAATTTTAAGAAATAAATTTTTATTGGTTGTTCCCTATAAGACTGTGGAATTTGGCTAACTGTTTTTCACATTTAGTATTTTAATTTTAGTACTAATCTACTTTCTGAGTAAAATTTTCATGTATTTTAACAAAATTCATGCTTTTAAAATATGGTATATATTAGTAACAATTTATTGCTATAGAGTTGAAATATTATTTCAAAGGAAGCAATATTTTGTTTTAGAAATAGGTTTCTTTTCAAAATCAATGTAAACAAACTGTTCTTGTACTGTTTTCTATGACAAGTTGTTAAATTTTTTTAGAACTATAAAAATGCCCTTTTGTACGTTTTGTTTGTTTTTAAGCAAATCTAACTTACACATAAAATGTCTTAAGTAAGCCTACACCGTCTGGTACCTTCCGTACATCTCATCTCTAAAGTGTTGGTGTACACTTAGTATGACCCTTTGCTTCAAATTCCCTCCCCACCATTTAGCTGTGAAACTTTGGGAAATTATCTCCTCTCTTTAAAAATCAATATCTTTCCTGTAAAAACAGGGATGACCGTGATTCTTGCTAGATTTAGAAGGTAATTGCAGACTGGGCCAATTACCATGGTTAACAAAGAATGCCTGTTTCCTGTTGCCTACGACTTGCCTCCGGAATTAAGACTTTTGACTTATGCTGTCAGTTTGTGATTCTACCCTTAAGTTGCAGGCTCCTAGCGTAGTTCCTCCCTGAACATGGCTGTATGTATCACGCACTGTTAGACAGTAATGGTGTGATATGAAAGCCATTCTTGAGCGTGTGGGCCATCCTAGTTCTGTGCAGGTTTAGGTGCTGCTTAGGGTAACTGGATGTTGTGGTAGAGAGAAAGACAGGAGGATTTTGTATGTGTAACATACATTCTGCATTCTAAAGCTTATGTTGTACTGTTCAGTCCCTGAACAGCAGCTGCTGGACATCGAGGACTGTGACCTAAATGTGGTGAGACTATGTTTTCAAGTCTTCCTTCCTGATGAACATGGCAACCTGACAACTGCTCTTCCGCCCATTGTTTCTAACCCGATTTATGACAACCGTAAGTGCTTTAATTTACTTAGGTCTGTAATCTTAGCTTCTTTTATTTCCTTAATTGTTAAAACTTTAAAGTATTTTCTTAATTACAAAAGGAGTATGTTAGGTGGGTATGGTGGCTCGTGTCTGTAATTTTAGCAATCAGAAGGCTGAGACAGGAAGATAAAATTTGAAGGCTTTATGGGCTATACAGTGAGACCTTGTTTCAATAAACAAAAAGAGGCCAGGTGTGGTGGTCTATCTGCCTGCCTCTGCCTCCCAAGTGCTGGGATTAAAGGCATGAGCCACATTTTCTGGCACCATTTATGGCTACCTATTAATTTTAAGAAATCATTACCCAGTTAAAGGGTATTTGGCTAATTTCCTTCTTGTCTTCTTGTGAACAAATTATACTGAAATAAATATATTTATGTGTGTATTTTAAAGACATATATCTACATATCTATCATCTGTCATATCTATGTGTGTATGTTCATGTGTATGTGGAGGTCAGAAGAAAATTTGCAGGACTTCTCTGCTTCCACCCTGGAATCAAACTCAAGTTGTCAGGTTTGGCAGCACCACCATTACCCACTTAACTATCTCTTTGGTTTATGAATATTCATATATTATGCAAATGTTTCTGGCATTTGTTTTCAGAAGTATAAATTTTGACAAGACTGTATCAGAGGATATCGAAGTTTATTTGAAAAAAGTATAGAACTCCTCCAAAATATTTTGTACACACACATACTCACTCACCAGTGGTGTATGCTACACCTATTTTGCATATAGAATACTGGTCCATAGAGTATAGAAGTAGATTATTCATATCAGAGATCTCTGGGTGCCTTGAAGGACTACTATAATAATATTGGGCAAATAAATGAAAATTGCATTGCCCTACGGGTGTAGCTAATGATGTAAAAAAACTAGTCATGGTGTGCCTGTTGAAATAAGGGCGGTGGGGCTGCGTCCCCAGCACCCCGGCCGCCTGCTAGCTTATGCCCAAAATAACAACACACAAACTGTATTCATTTAAACACCGCTTGGCCCGGCTAGTTCCAGCTTCTTATTGGCTAGCTCTTACATATTGTTCTAACCCATTTCTAATAATGTGTGTAAGCACCCCAAGGTGCGCTTACCGGGAAGATTCTATCCTATGTCCATCTTGGGTCGGAGCTTCATCGCGTGTGCCTCAGAGAGCAGAGCTATCGGGAGAGCGGAGCATGGCGTCTCTGCTCCAGAGAGCAGAGCTGTTGTGTCTCTCCGGGAGCAGAGCAGAGTCTGACCTCACTTCCTCTTCCGCCCAGATTTCTATTCTGTTTACTCCTCCCACCTATGCTTTAACCTATCAGGGCCAGCCAAGCAGTTTCTTTATTGCTCAATGACCTTCCTCCATCAGTGTGCCCTTATCAAAAATTGGGAGGCAGAGTCAGGAGAATTGCTCAGATTCAAAGCTCAGCTAGCCTAGTGTACATAGCTTCAAAAAACAAGAGACTGTATCTCAAAGGAGGTGGAAATCCAGGACTAGCAAGCACCTAAGATTGTCCTACAACCTCCACACATGTGCCATGGCACACGCTTACCTGTGCTCACACACGCCTACACCCAGACATACCTTAACAACACACATAAAAATATTCAGTTTCCTTTATCTATATATTAAGATTTTTATCTATTCTCTAAATTATTTTCCTCTAATTTTTCCCCTTACAACGTAATAAATATACTTCTACTGGCTAGTTTTATGTCAACTTGACACAAGCTAGAGCCATCGGAGAGCCTCTATTGAGAAACTGTCTTCATAAAATCTGGCTGTAGGCAGGCATGTTGGGAGTTTTCTTAATTAGTGATTCATGGAGGAGGGCCCATTCTATTGTGGGTGGAGCCAATCCGAGGCTGGTAGTTTTAGGTTCTATAAGAAAACAGGCTGAGCAAGCCAGTAGGCAGCACCCCTCTATGACCTTTTGTAGCATAAATAATAAAAACACAGTGACAGATATTGGGGTTCAACTCGAAGGTCAGAAAAGCAAAGCAGCTAAGACACTAGAGAGCTCTTACCGCTATGAAATCTTGAGACTGAAAGAGAGTGAGTTCCTGTCTCACCCTACCTTATATTCCTCTCTAGTGCTGGAAGTAAAGGTGTGCACCACCACCAAGCAGCCTCTATGGCTAACTAGTCTGGCTGCTTGGATTAAAGGTGTGTGCCACCACTGCCTGGCCTGTATGGCTGACTAGTGTGGCTATTTTGCGTTCTGGTCTTCAGGCAAGCTTTATTTATTAAAAGACAAAGGAAATATCACTACATTTCCCTTTTCTTGTCTAAAGTAAAAAGACTATAACTAATACAAGGAAACTATATACAGTAAGTGCAATAACTATATACAATATATACAGGTAATAAATACACCAACAATGTCTTGTCCATTTGCATTTGACAAATTCAGAGAAAATACTCCATGTCTACCTTATCTTGGTGAGTCCAAAGTCCTGCACCTAATTTACTTTCTATCATAACTTGCTTTCTGCATCTGGTAAACAAAGAATACTATAATTACCTAGTCTTCAACTCCCTCATAAAACCAAGAAGGAAATAATATTAATTGAGTAAGCAGAAAGTGTGAGCAAGTGACTTCCAAAAAATGTGAGAAATGACAGAAAACAGCTAGCTGCCTGGACAGTCACCCAAAGTTCCTCTGCAATGTTGGGGTATAATTTTCAGCCTACAGACAGGCCTATTATATCCGACAGACTTTTCTGTGAAGCACAATATTCTGAATGGTTGTCCCTTCTTGTCTTGACAATGTCGGGCAGTCACTTTCTTTTGTGTCGTGCTTGTCCAATTAGGTCAGCATGCAGTCAGCAGTCAAGGCAGGGGCATTTTCTTGCCCAGGGACTTACTTTTGCCACAAACAAAGTAAACTCCATGTGGAGTTTCTTTGATGTCCGTTATTTTCTCTGAAGTAGAATGGTGATGCAGGAGCAGACATGTTTCATTGTCATAAAAAAAAAAAAAGAACCTGTGTTATTAAAATATCTTAAATGCCTTATTCTGTAGATCTCTGAAACGTTTGAAGATGACCTCTCTGTCTAAAATACATCTTCATTTAACCTTGAAAATATACCTGATATGACTAAAAGTTCCATTATAATAGGTGATTAACTATTAACCTGCATTTCATTATTATACTAAACAGTTGGTAATAATAATTTTCAAGGATTATAAATTTTCATTACATTGTTAAATGAGACTTATAGGTACAATAGCTTGAACAAGAGTAGGAAATGTATGTACAGTATGTTTTAACAAAATTAATCTCAAATTTGTATCAATATACAAAATGTGTATACAATATACAAAAATCCAATCCAAGGTAAAACATTTAAAACTAGTAGTTGCTTTTAAAAAATAGATTCAATAATCTATCTTTTTACCTTATTATATCAATAACCTCCCTTTTTCATTTCAGAATAGATTCAAATAGACTCTTTTCTTATCTATATCCCCTTTTTTTCTTTTCAGAGCAGATTTAATAATCTACCCTTTTATCCTATCATATCTATATCCCCCTTTTTTCTGCTCAAAACAAGAACTCTGAATCTAACCTCCTTAATTCAACTTTTCTCCTGACCGTAACCAATAACCACCCCCCCTAAATTATGAAAAATATCCATAGCCCATTAAACAACCAAAAACCACCCACACCATCTCTATGAAATGTGAGCATCATATTCTTAAATTTACTTCCTGCTGTCTGGGGTGGGGGGAGGCAATAATATCTTTAGGAGATCCTGAAAAGAAAATTTTGGGTCAATTCTCAAGTCTTGTGAGAGGTAGTTGTATCATTGGTTGTCCAATTTCATTGTTGTCCAATGGGAAAGTGCAGGACTTGTCTCAAGTCCTGGCTAGAGTAGTCTTTTAGGCTGGATTATCTCAGCTAGTCGCCTTGAAATTGTTCAGAGCAGTTTGTAGTCAAAACCAATCTTTAGGTGGTGTTTTTCAGCTTAGTGGTGCTATCATAGTCCTGGAGGAATCATCATTGAGAGGCTCCATCCTCCTTATGGAGACTCCAAAGGTTACTGTTAGGCATGCTCATTATTCACTGTAGAAAACTAATAGAGACTCAAACCTGAAATCATCTACATAAAGGCAGATGAAACCTTTATCCATAATTAGTTAGTACTCTGAATAACCATTAATGTCATGAAAAAACGTTTAGATTAATATTACAAATTTTGTACCTTAAGAAAAGCTGTTAATGAGTTATTATAAACCAAAGAATTATGAGATTAGTAGCAATATAACAGTCCTTAAATATTTGTTTTTCTGCTGTCTCATATCAGGTGACTCTTCTGACATGAGACAGAGATTTTGGATTTCACTTTAATAAGCCTGCTTGGATTTAGAGAAGGAGAGAACCACACTCTAGATCCAAAGCCAGCTTTCATCTTTAATAGGACTGAGACTACAAAAAAAAAAACATTTGCGTTATACATCTGTAGAGAATAGCAGAAACAAATGTTTAGGAAGATCTATGAAATTTTATTCTGTTGGAAATGTGACATACCAATAGGCCAGTTTACTCTTCATACAGAATTGAACCTTTTTTCTGTATGATTTGCCCCTTTTCTTCTGATGTCTCATTTGTCCAGTGGTGTTCAGATTTAAATTTTGTATTCAGTTTATATAGTAAAAGACCAATTCTAAAATAATATCTTTCCTTTGCATTAAAATTCCTGTAGGGGAATGTTTGGAGGGTAATATGACCAGAATGCAGTTAAGATTTGGATCTACATGATCCACCTGTGACTTCTGTAATTTCTCTTCAATCAAAGGCAATTCTCTCTGAGCTTCAGTTGATAATTCCCTGGGACTATTTAAGATAGTTCTTGCCACCATCTAAGGTTTTGTTTAAATTAATCAGGTCATCAGGACCTATACCAATAGTGTGCTGTAGATGAGAAATGTCTTCTAGCAATCTTTGGAAGTCATTAAGTATCTGCAACTGATCACTCTTAATTTGCACCTTTTAGGTAAACCTATTTTATGACCTAAATAATCAAAAGAATCTCCTCTTTGTATTTTTTCAGGATCAATTTGTAATCCCCAACAGTGCAAAATTTTCTTTTTTTTTTTTTCGAGACAGGGTTTCTCTGTGGCTTTGGAGCCTGTCCTGGAACTAGCTCTGTAGACCAGGCTGGTCTCGAACTCACAGAGATCCGCCTGCCTCTGCCTCCCGAGTGCTGGGATTAAAGGCGTGCGCCAC